CTAGAAAAAGTGCCCACCTAAGTGACAGGTGGCCTGGCTTTCTGTCCAGCTCTGCTACCCACTGGATGACTGTGGCTAAGTTACTTCACCTCCTGGGGCCTCTGTCTCTGCCATGCAGCTGGGCCTCTGTTTATGGCCTACCGGCTCCTGAGTATCCCTTCAGTTTCTGGAGTTCTTATGTGCAGGGACCGGGGCTTTGATCTGTTCAATATGTTTTACTTGTTCACTGGTAAGTCGAGCCCGCACCCAAGTTTCACCACAAACCAGCAAACTCATCCTTGTGCTTCTTGATTTACAATGCCACGGTGGATGCCTTTGACAACAAATGTGTCGCTAGTCTCAAAATCAGCATACCTAATACCGAGGTGTTATTTTCCCCTTCTCCGAAAGGAAAGAGAGATATGTGGACAGCACACACACATCCTGGGAGGGGAGGGCACGAAATCATGTTCTTCTGTTCTCCCAGGTCAGGATGAGTGGAGACAAAAGCCCTCAAGGATGGGACCACTGATGTGGTTTGGATGTTTGTCCCGCCACACCTTATGTTGAAATGTGACCCCAGTGCTGGAGGTGGGGCAGAGCGGGAGCCATCTGGGTCACGGGTGGGGATGCCTCATGTATGGCTCGGTGCCCTCCCCGAGGTAACAAGCTGGTTGTTTAAAGGAGCCTGGCCTCTCTCTGGCTCCCTCTCCCTCCATGTGACGTGCAGTCTCCCTCTCCCTTCCGCCATGACTGTCTCCTGAGGCCTCCCCAGCAGGAGATACTGGCCCCATGCTTCTTGAACAGTCTGTGGAGCCGTGAGCCAAATAAACCTCTTTTCTTTATAAATGTCCCAGCCTCAGGTGTTTCTTTATAGCAATGCAGATGGACTAATACCACCATGCAACTTGCCAATTTGTCCCCCAGGTCTTTCCAGAGCTCACAACTACTTGCTTGGGATGGTTGAGGGGCCTTCCTAGGAGAAGCGTCAGCCCTTAGGGGTCCAGGATCCTCTCAGCTGCGGCTTGGCTCTGGAGAACAGTCTCGCGGCCTGCGTGTTTTCTGCATCCACCCCATTCTTCCTGTTCAGGGGCCAGTGGTCATCTGCTCCCTATCAGAGGACACGGCGTCCCCCTTCCCCTTGTGGTCACTGGCTCTCATCATCTCCCATCTCCCCCAGGGACTTTATTCGACCCCCCCCCCCCCAGTCCTTGGCTCTTTTCACCTCATCATCTGCTCGGCCCTCACTTTGAAACAGCCCCCAGCCCCCACACCCGGCTTCCTCAACTGGACGGCGCTGCTGTGTCTCTCCGTGCTTGGCACGCATGCCGGCTCCTCCCCGGCCTCCCCCTCGAGCCCATACTTTGGCTCTTTTCTGTCCCTAGCGCTCTGTGTATGACTGACCCTAGGCTTACTCTACTGTGTTACAGCTTACTTGCTTATACATCCAACCCTCCCGCTTGACTCAATATAATTCGGCTGTATCTTTGACCTACAGCTGGATTTCAATTGCCTTATGTAGCTTAAGCTTAATAAATGCCTGTTGAATGAATAAAGTAGAAGTGAACTGGAAAATGATAAATGTGTCATCTCGAGACATTGTTACCATGGCTAAATAAGGAATCTAGAATGGGATCATAAAATTTGTGAAGTTTATGACTCCAAGACCCATCTGCAGTGAGGTCTGAAGAAGTAAGGTATTCTGATACATTACATTTTAAAAACAGCAGAATACAACTGCAGAATTCACTTTAGAATTACATATGCAGGACTTATCCACTGAAGAAACAATGTTTAAATATAAAAAGCAAAAAGCGAAGAAGAATTACCTGTAATCCCAAGATGCAGAGATGACTTCTGTTAACATTTCAACTAGGCTTCTTTTTAACTATGCAAAACTTTGTGCTCGTGTAAATATATACCTAAAATATATTCTTTTGAAGCTGACCTTTTCACTTTTAACATGCATACTTTCTTGTCAATAAAAACACAGCTACAATATCATTTTAGTGTTGGAGTGTGGTTATGGCAGGTGAAGTTCACAAAGTACTTAATCAGCCATTCCATTCTCGACTATTATACATTTAGGTGGTTTATGGAGCTTCACTATTTCAAACGGTTTTTCAGCAAATATCTTTGTACTTACATTTTATTTATTTTTATTTATTTATTTTTTTTGAGTTGGAGTCTCACTGTTGCCCAGACTGGAGTGCAGTGGCCGCTCCCAGCCACCGCAGCCTCGACCTGCTGGGCTCCGGCGATCCTTCCGCCTCAGTCCTCCGAGTTGCTGGAACTACAGGCGCGCGCTACCACGCCCGGCTGATTTTTTGATTTATTGTAGAGGTGAGGTCTCGCCTGCCCAGGCGGGTCTCGAACCCGCGGGCTCAGGCAATCCACTCACCTCAGCCTCCCAAAGGCGCAGGATTACAGGCTGAGCCACCGAGCCCAACTGTACTTACATTTTAAAGAATTGATCTTATTGTGTGCTGAGGATACATTTCAAGGGTAACATTTCTTGGTCAAAAGATATGTCCACATTGAAAGTGTGTTACATGTTGCCAAGTTGCTCTCTGGAGAGTTGTACCCATCTCCACAACCACTAGTGATGTGCAAGAAGCTTTTTTCTCCACACCCTCACCAACTCCAGCTCTGCTAGTTCTGCTGACACCTTCTCAGTCTCATTTGGTTTCTTCTGTTTGCCCGAGATTTGCATCTCATTGATTGCCAGTTAGACTACACATATTTTCGTATCTGCAATGCTCCTTTTATACTTCTTTTGTGAGCTGCCTGTTCAAATCCCCTAATCTCTTATGTACTGGAACAAGTTATGTAAGTAGATACAGGCATAAATATGAATCTGCATAGCAATCAATCCTCCTCCTGCTAAAAACGTGATGGGTATTTTTCTTAAATTGCTATTTGCATTTTAAAGCCTTATCTATGGTGTCCTTAATCATTTAATTTTCTATGCATAAAGTCGAGGTGCTTTTCTGGAGCTGACCCATCTTTTTCTTCAAGGCTCCCGTCTCAGGAGCCTTCCCTAAGAGACAGAGATTACCAGTGGCCTCTGCAACGCCTTCTCCTCATCTTCTTTAGCAAGGGAACCTTTCTCCTGACACAGACTTCCCAGCCTCCTTTGCAGCTGGGTGTGGCCAGGTGACAAGCGGCTGATGAGTGCCAGTGCTATTGCGCCACCCCGGGGCAAAGCGTCTCAGGTGAGGGCTGAGCCCTCCTTCCCTCCTCCTCTTCTGCTGCCTGGCAGGAAACAGCGAGCACGCTGACTGCCATCTTGGACCATTTCCGCCTTGAGGATGAAAGCCAAGCTTGGCAGAGGGAAGGAAGGAGCCTGCAGTGCTGATGATGTCACGAAGAAGCTGGCTCACCAGCCCCAGGCTGGCTGCCTCAGATCTTCTTTCATGTGCGAGAAGAAGGACGTTGCTGTAGTCAGGCCTTTGGTGAGGGCAACCCTAGCTCCTAAGAGCAATCCCTAACTCATTCATCGACCCAGGGTTATGTCGATGCTGCATTTTCTTCTAGGTATTTTTTAGCTACTACCTTATCTCTGTGTTTATGAATATGTGACTTAAAAGATACGTCACCAAGATTCGACATTTTATGTGAAATAATGTTTTGGTAGAGACTGTTTGAGAATGATAATGACTCAGCCAGGCATGGTGGCTCACTCCTGTCATCCCAGCACTTTAGAAGGTTCAGGTGAGAGGATTGCTTAAGCCCGGGAGTTTTTTTGTTTTGTTTTGTTTTTTTAATTGTAGAGACAAAGTCTCACCGAGTTGCCCGGGCTGGTCTCAAAGCCCTGAGCTCAGGCAATCCTCTCGCCTCGGCCTCCCAAAGTGCTGGGATGACAGGCTTGAGCCACCGTGCCCAGCCCTAGCCCAGGAGTTTGAGACCAGCCTAGCAACACAGCCAGACCTTGTTTCTACAAACAATAAAAAAAAAATTAGCCAGGGATGGTGGCACTTGCCTGTAGTTCTGGCTATTCAAGAGGATGAGGCGGAAGAATTCCCTGAGCTCAGGAGATTGAGGCTGCGGTGAGCTGTGATTGTGCCACTGCACTACATCCTGGGCAACAGAAAGAGACCTGACTCTAGGGAAAAGAAATGACCGCTAGACCCACATGTAGATAAAATTGTTACACCAAATTTTAAGAAAGATTCTACTTATAGAGTTTTATTCTACTAAGAATTAATTAAAATTAGGCCAATGATCCTGAAATGCAATTCTTTTGTAAGAACAAACCTTGAGAAATAACATTAACATCAAGTTTCTTGGATAACCATGAGCTTTTATCCTGAGAAGTTAATTTTCGGATGATTTGACTATAAAAAGTGAGACTCTGTACCTGATTGGAAGTTTTTTTGATAAAGGTTGTTGTATACGTATCTAAATTTATACTAAAAAGCTACAGTATGGCAAAATTTGACTATAGTTTCATTACAGTCAGAATTTCTATTTTAATTTTATTTATCGAGACAGGGTCTCCTTATGTTGTCCAACTGACCTTGAACTCCTGGGCTCAAGCAATCCCCCCACCTCAGCCTCCCGAAAACTTGACACCATAGGTGCATGCATGCCGCTGTGCCCAGCTTTGGTTTTAAAGTATGTTTTGACTGTGGGTACAAAATGCTTTTTTCTAGAACTTAACACACATATTATTCTTGCTTCTGTAAAAAATGAGTCAGATAGTGTTCAATTTAATGGAACTAATGTCTATTTAACTAACATTTATTAAATACCTGCTATCTATCTAATCTCACAATGACCTACAAGACAGGTAATGTAATTCTTATTTTAGAGAAGCAGAAGCTGAGGGTCAGAGAGGCATTAACTCATCTGTCCAAGGCCACTCGGAGGTTGGATGGGAAAGAACGCCTCTGGAGTTGTTGACCCCAGAGTTTAAACTCCTGGCTACTCATGTAAGACCCTGGGTGGGGCCTGCAAGGAGGGCAGACGAGGGAGACACAGTTTCCCACAGGCAATGGTGAACAAGAGTTGGGACTTACCTGCCCTACACAGGCCCTCAGTGTTAACACGAGTGGGGAGGGAGCTGCCTTTTGAGTTTGCTGCAGACACAGCCACAGCCCAACTCCCGGTTCTCGGGAGGATCCAGGTCCAGGAGGTGTGTTCAGTGATGTTTTGGAATGTGGCTTTTCCCCCCGTAAGCTCCTGCAAGGTCACGCGATAGTGAAGGATTTTTCCTCTTGCCTCGGAGACACTTAAATTCTGCAACAAAACACATTCATTCACTGTTTATTCTCAGGCAAGATCACTGATGCTCTGGCCTGAACCCCACGGCCCCTGCTGCAGCCAGTGATGTCTGTAAGAACTTTTTATTGACAACTTCTCTACTTCTTCACTACACACTTTCATGCAACATCTGGCCTCCCATCTTCTGCCATTTAGGAAAAAAATATAGTTAATGTTTTTTTCAACAATTCTTAAGGTTGGGCACGGTGGTTCATGCCTGTGATCCCTGCACCTTGGGAGGCCAAAGTGGGAGGATCGCTTGAGCCCCGGCATTCAAGACCAGACTGGGCAGCATAGCAAGACCTCGTCTCTACAAAAAAATTTAAAATTCACTGGGCGTGGTGGCACGCACTGGTAGTCCCAGCGACTGGGAGGCTGAGGCAGAAGGATCACCTAAGCTGGGCAGATTGAGGCTGCAGTGAGCAGCGATTGTGCTACTGCACTCCAGCCTGAGTGAGTGCAGGGGCAGAGTGAGACCCTGACTCAAATAAATATTCTTAAAAACACACTGATTTTCCGTTTTTGCTTCCAAATGAAACTTACTAACAGTAGATAACGCAGCCCCAAGTGTGGAATCTGAGCTCAGAAGATCTGGATTTGTGTTCCCGCTCTGCCAAGGCACTCAGCCCCTCTGAGTCTCCATTTCTGATGTGCCAGACACACACACACACACACACACACAACACACCCCCTTTTATAGAAAGTGCAGTGCTGCTCAAGACGTCAACAGAAGATGCCCGAGAGCTAAACCAGCAAAGTCTTCGCTTAGTGAATCGAATGAGCTATCTGTGCCAGGAAACTTAGACGCTGTTCATAAACGTGTGACGAACAACTTTTGGAACTGCAGAAATTCCAACTGAGATCGCTTGGGAGCGATCCCGGAAAGTGAACGGAGAACTAATTATTTGTCTTCTTCCCCTGTTTTGACAAGGACCATGAGAAACAGAAGATGGAAAATGGAGAGCTGTCAAGCCTGGCTCTGGTAGTGCCGCCCACACCTACAGCAGGGAGAGGAAGGCTTGGCTCACTGCGTGTTCCTGGCCAGGTGACCCCTCCCGTGGGCGGGGGCTCCAGCTGCCTTTGCTGAAAGGCCCACAGCAGCCTGCAAATGTCCCTTGCTTGAGTCCCTGCTCCCCCAGCAGTCTTTTAAGAGTCTGGCTTCCCGTGCACTTTATCTGTCAGGAGGGGCTGGGGTAACATCTGGTTCACTTACAATTTGTATTTTTTGCTCTCAGTGAATAAATTGGCCTTCGGATGATAATTTGGCTTCCAGAACAATCAGCACACTGGGGGAGGATGCGCCAATCTGCTGACTCGAGCCTTCTGGTTGGCCCAACAGCTGCATGTCTTGCTATAAATTAAGCCACGAGCATCCAGCTTTTTATTCAGTTTCTGGGAGCTTGGCTGATGCCTGTCTGTTCTGGGGACGCCTCTGGAACCACAAGGCCCAAGACTGGACCTGAATCCAGGGTCGGTACGTCAGGTGGACACCTTTGTGCGGGGGGGGGGGCGGGCCTCCTGAGCCGATATTCCGCCTTTCCCTAAAGTCAGCAAGTTGGATGTCCCCCACAGCTGATCTCACGGGTCTGCTGTGTGGATTAGAATCAGCAAGTTCCTTTTAAAATAGACTGTTCTAAACTATTAATAATACACATGCCCTTGTCAGAGGAGAGCAACGGGGTAAGTTCGTCAGGCAGAGGCTGGCGAAGGAAGACCATCCCTTCCACTGTCTCTCCTGCAGATCCAGAGGTCGAGCTATTACCCACCCCATCCCCCATGTTCCCCCACCTCAGACATTCCCCAAGACGAACTGAGCTCACAAAACTCCCCAGAACTTAAGAGACTTCGGTTCCACAATGAGCCAAGGCCTCATTGGATTTGTTTTCTTTTTTGTTTGCAAACCAGCCTCCTGTCCTTCAAAGACATCCCAGAAATCTCATTCAACCTCATAGTAAAATGCTGCAGGAGGCGGGGGAATGTGTCATCTTGGGTCCAATGAATTTGCATAGTGACTACTGTGAAAATCTCGCTGGTCACCACAGTCTAACAAACAGAGCTGTGGCTCTGAAGGGTTGTGAGGCTTTCCAGAGGGAGGGACAGGCCTGGACCCAGACCCTTGCGTTTTTTCCTCTAGATCTCGTGATTGAGAGTTGAAAATATCCTTGAAAAGGTCGGACTGGGATGGAAGTAATCGGACAAGCAAATACGGCATCCCGTGGGTCATGCTTAAATAAATGGCAGGCTCGAGTTTTGGAGTCAGGTTATCCTTTCTCAGGCAACGGGTCTCCTTGACCAAATGAAATCTGCAATTAGTTTGATTTTTTTAAAAAAGCAACATAAGTTTGCCGATAATCCGTCGCTCCAGGATTATGCCTGGCCCTGGGGGAACGGGGTGCCATCCTGGAACCACCAGATTGGAAAGGACGCAGCCGTTGACAATTAATTCCACGGTTCATTCTGTACGCGGGCACGTGGAAACCCAGGGATGCCAGCGAGGTGGCTTGCCAAGCCCCCCAGGGACAGATGAAGAAGGCGGGCCGAGTCCACCGGCCTTGACCTCGGGACCCGCGCTCCCGGGTGGAAGGGCCGGCCGCGTGTTCCTGGGCTGGGGTCCCCGGCGCCCCCGTTGCAAGGCAGCCGCGTCGACGGCAGGCACGGCCTGGCGGGGCCCCAGACCCCTCCTCCCGGGGCCGGCGCGTGACCCGCGGGGTGAGCGCCGGCCGGCGGCCTCTTCGCGAAGAGGCCAGGATAAGCCACGTGTCCCGGGCCGCCGCGAGTCGGGCCGTCGGGGACCCCGCGCGAGGAGGCGGCCGGCGCTTGGGGCGCGGAGTGGCCCGGAGGCCCGGAAAGGGTGGCCGCACCGGGGTGTCTCCCGGGCCTGGAGCCTGGGTGCCTCTGGCAGCGCTGAGAACGGGTCTGGGCTGGTCCCTGCGGCACGGCCACTCTCTCCCGTGGCCGGCTGTGCTGAGGAGGGACGGCGTCCCACTGCCGGTCTCCTCCGTCTTTCTTTCTGCTCCTTCCGGTGGGAAGCCACCTGCACTGGGGAAGGGAGGCCTTTGGGACTCAGGGCCGTCTGAGCAGCGGGCGGCTCCCTCCATACCCGTGTTAAGAATCGCCTGGAAAAGCTTCCTTCCTTCCTTCCTCCCTCCCTCCCTCCCTCCCTGCCTCTCACCCTGTTGCCCAGGCTGGAATGCAGTGGCACACTCACAGCCACCGCAGCCTGGGCCTGCTGGGCTCCGCGATCCTTCCCCTCAGCCTTCCAAGTAGTCCGAACTACAGCCCTGCGCCACCACGCCCGGCTAATTTTTTGATTTATTGTCGAGAGGAGGTCTTGCCAAGTTGCCCAGGCTGGTCTCGAACCCATGGGCTCAGGCAATCCACTTGTGCTGGGATGGCAGGCTTGAGCCACTGCCCCTGGCCTGGAAAAGCTTTCAGCACCAAAAATAACTTGGTGAATGTAGTCGACACAGGACTGAGTCTGACACATTGCAGAGTGCCACACACCTGCTTTTACTTAATGCAAGTCCTGTTGGAAAGAGCGCGTCTCTATGAGCTGGTAAGCGATTTCCTCTTAAGACTGAGGAAACCCACTGTACCTGACACAGAGTGATGCTTTCCTGCCGAGCTTCTCCTGATGCCGATAACCAGGAAGAAGCCTGCTAGGGCTTAGTCGACATCAAAGGACAGGGCCTGTCATCAAGACCTCAGAAAACTGGGCGTGCTGAGCTCTTAGTCACAGCTTCTCTTTCTTTTGATTTTGGCTTCACACGACTGCTGACTGGGGCTCTTCTTATTAGGGCAGATCTTTTGCTTTCCTGCTCGGCCACACAGCAGCTGTGTGACCTTGGACAAGTTGTTTTACCTCTCGGAGCCTCAATTTCCTTGACTATAATATGAGTAATATGAGGATAATTTCATGTGCAGCCTAAGTTTATTGGAGCATTCAGTGGGTTAAGGGAGGTGAACTGTTTCAAAGAGTGCCTGACACACAACAGATATTAAGACTCTTGGCTGGGCACAGTGGCTCATGTCTGTAATCCTAGCACTTTGGGAGGCCAAGACGGGAGGATCGTTTGAGCCCTGGAGTTCGAGACTAGCTCAGTAATAGAGCAAGAGCTTGTTTCTTAAGAAAAAAAAAAAACCAGCCAGGTGTGGTGGCATATACCTGTAGTCCCAGCTACTCAAGAGGCTGAGGCAGAAGGATCACCTGAGCCCAGGAGGTCAAAACTGCAATGAGCCATGATGGTGGCACTGCACTCCAGCCTGGGCGACAGGGTGAGACCCCCGACTCAAAAAAGGAAGAAAAAAAAGAAAGAAAGAAAAGAAAAAAAGACTCTTGGTGAGTTCCCTTCTCTCAGTCACTCTAAAGTAACATAAAAATCATCCTGCCTGGCACTTTTGCTATCACCCTTACAACTCCTCCACCTGTCTGTGAAGAGCCAGGTCATCTTGACGGTTCCAGGTGGAAGCCTCACCAACACCTAGTTTGAGAGCTTCTGTGGGTTTGGGTTCCTGGACTTCAGAACTCACCACTGCCTTCTGCAACCCCAGGCCAAGGTGAAGAAGTGACACAAAGACAACCCTCGCTTGGAAGTTTTAAGCATCACTCTGTTGAAATTGCCCGCCTGAGGGGCTGTCTTCCCATTGGCCTGCCATCCGTGCGTGCTCTGGGTTGTGCACAAAGTGTGCCTCATAACAAGAATCTGCCTGACACCTTTCGCAATGATTTCACAAAAACGCCATGCGATATTTGCTATTATTATTTGACTTGTCGGCGTCAAGGCCTCTGGGCCGCCCAGGCTGGAGTGCAGTGGCACGATCACGGCTCACTGCAGCCTGGACCTCCTGGGCTCAGGCGATCCTTCTGGAGTAGCTGGGACTGCAGGAGTGCACCGCCACTCCCAGCGAATTTTTTAGGTTTTTTAGGAAGCCGGGGTCTAGCTACGCGCCCCAGGCTGGTCTGGAACTCCTGGGCT